TCCTGCTTATTTCTGCCTGTCTCCTTTTGTTATTCTCTTGGCCTGCTTCTCTCCCTCTTTTGAAGGGATCTCTAAAGCGTTCCAGTCAGATCAGGAGAAAAGCGGTGGCTACGAGTTCTTACTTTAGATATTGAATTAGTTCAATGAAGGGCATCATGAGATCTCTGCAGACCTGACCCTTCCCTTCTGTGAGCAGAAAGGGTCTCCGAGTTTGTTCATTCCCAATTATTCCTCTCCCCGCCCCTACCCTGAGGGGAGTGGGTTGAAGGTCATGTTATTGACCTGTTTAAATGGAGTTCAGATTCCTCTCCCTCCTCCAGCACCTTTTCTGTCCCTGCACTCACATTGTCCTACCTCTGTGAATCCAATCTATTGACTTTAGCCATATGATCAACATCCAAAGTGTATGTTACAAGTGAGGTGTTCCTGTTGAAGTGAAAGTGTTCGCAATATAATAATTACATACAGCATTTTATATATATGTAGTTATATATATGTGTGTATGTATATGTGTGTATGTGTATATGTATATGAATGCACCATACATAAACACATATATATGTGTGCATATATATGCACACATATATATATGCATATGCAACACCTCTTGTATCTCCCATTTTAAAGCTCTGCCACCATCCCTCTTACACGGTAGTCTCCTGCTATGAGTCCTGCAACTGACATTCTGCTCACTCACAGGTCCCACTCCTGAACTTCCTGCAGGGCCAGCCAAGTCCCCCCAAATACTTTGCATCGCAGGGAATACATGTTGATTCTCCTATCCTGGATACTATTTGTTCTGCAGCTGATTAAATTAGTAGGTTCCATTCAATGACCCATTAATTTTCTCTCTCTTGTAGAACTGCTTTAGATTTCTGTTACTGCTTGTGGCTATTCAGAGTGTTATTACATGCATATAATTGTGTTCACCTTCTCTTTCTCTGTTGAATAGCTGAGAGAGAAAAAAAATGCTCTGCAGTAATGTGTTACTATTTGTGTTTGGGAACCACCTGGGACTGGTGCATAAATATATGTTAAGGGCAGGATAGCAACTAGAGAAACTTGTTGCCCCATGTTGCAATCACAATGCATGCACATTAAATTGGTGAATCATTAGCCTTGGTGATGCATATTAGAGTTGCAGAGCAGAACCAATGGATTCATGAACATAATGTACTCTCCCAAGGCAGGCTAAAAACCATTTACCATTCTCTAATCATAAAAGTAGTGGTGCAGTATAAACATGCTTTAGCATGCCCTTCTTTATATATTTATCTATCTGTCTGTCTGTCTGTCTGTCTGTCTGTCTATCTATCTATCTATCTATCTATCTATCTATCTATCTATGTAAACTCATCTTCTACTGAAGAAGGTTTCTGAGTCCTGGGGGACAAATGAGAAACATAGAAACAAGAGCTATTGGCTTTGTATTTACATGGTAATTGCCCAATATTCTTTTTGTCTCTTTGTCCTTAAATTCTTTTGTGTATTATAGGAGTTTTAGAAGAAAAGACCCAGCAGAACTGTAAAATAGCCTTTCTTGTATGTATGGCTTTTCAAACTGGTGGGATCCAATGTGGAAAAGAAGTACAAATTACCAATGTTTTTCAGGGGCTTTTTATTATCCGTGTGATAATTGAATAGATTATTACTTGATTTTTAACTGAAATTCAGTCTCATGAGAATTTCAAATTCTAGAATGATCCAACTGGAGAAATATCAGATAAAATGATAAAAAATTTCTCTGAAGAAAAAGTAGCAGTGTGACATGAAAGTGACCCCTCCAAAAGTATATCATAAAGTCATTCTTCCTGAAACTTACTGATCATTCTTTTTCTATTTCTATGGCATTGCCGTTAATACTGTGCTTCCAGTAATCCAGCTATGGCCCTGCTAGCCTATCATCAACAATGTTTTAAATTTCTCCGCATTCCCCTGGTATTTTGCCTCAATTATCTCAATATTTTATTTTTCTTTGTTTTATGTTATATTGAAGTGACTTTTGTCTTTCATATTTCCACCTTGTCACCTTTCAAAAGGTTTTAAAAATGTTATCAGATCTTACAGAACTGCTAAAACAAACAAAGGTATCCCATCATTGACTTTTCACTGTTCTTTGCCATTGTTTAATATCTAAGGGTCCATTCCATAGTAACCTATGTGATTTGAACATATCCTTCCTTGGATGCCAGAGAAAGGACATTGTGGTATGGACAGAAAATACTTCTGTCCTCTCTGCTTCCCTGTTCTGGTCGTATCAAGGGATGCATCTCAAGCCTGTTCTAACTTTTATTTCCTAGGTAGCATGATCTTAACTGGGAGTAAAGCTTCTTAAGGAGCTGAAAAAAATGCTGTTGCAGTGCTTTTAGATTTTGTTGAGAAATTGCTGCTTGTTCCCTGTTACTTTTCAAAGGAGCATTCCACTAGAACTAATTTGATTAGTCATACCCAATGCTTCCCCATGGGCATTTAGAAATATAAAATATGGGAACACATTTGGGGCTCACAAGGACCCCTGATACTTTTGCAGGTGTAGTAAGACATTATCAAAGCTTTCATGTATTTCACACTGGATGGTGATAATCCAAAAGGGCTCCGTTGCTTGTAAACCAGAACCAGGTCATTATTGAATAAACTGTGCACAAATAAGCTGAACACTTCCCTCCCACATTTCATGCTCTTTCCACTGAGGACATAAGGGTTGTTACCTCCCTTTGACAGAAAATGTGACAGAGGGTTCAAAAGCAGCATC